CGTATATAAAATATACATATAGATAAAAATACGTTAAAATAAAAAGAAATAAAGAAATAAAATACAAATATTTATGCTTATGTTCTGTATGAATTTTATAATTTTACCTGCATATATACACGCACAGTTTTATATTCCGCGCTTTAATGCGTAATAATGACTTAATAACGATGGGTACATTTTTAAACATACGATTACAAACGATCATATATACAATAATACAAAAATACAATACAAAAATAATAAAAAAGCAATAAAACTGATTAATAAACGTATTTGTGCTGTGTTCATAGCTTTCTTCCTTTTAGAAGGCTTGAAAGACGCAAAATCATTGAATGCCATTGATTATTATGATAACTTCACACTCAAAGAAACAAGCCAATACTTTTCCTTTTTAAAACTATCATGTGAAAAGGAACATTAACATTCGAAAAAATACAAACGACTACATTTATCCTCACCTAAAACTACAAAAAAAATTACGACACATATATCCGGCAACCGGCGTTTCCGTTGCGGTTGCTAGGAGAAAGCGTCTCGCTTATGGTTACCGTCGCAGTTAGCCAAACAGCTCCTGTTTATCCTCCTGAAGTCGTCTTTAATAGCGTGTATACCTCTACAGATTTGACAGAAAACACATCAGATATGTTCAGCGACGGCTGCACGTCAAATATTGTCAGTGAGGTGAGTTCTGTTATTATATTTACGTTAGCCTGCAAACTGGTAATGGAGGACGCGCACGCCAGCTAACCTAACTGTATGCATAGTTGTTATAAATGTTTATTCAGCTCATTATTATTTACGAACAAATACTCGCAGTGTTTTTAGCAGCACATATTAGCTTATTTCTGCATAACCAGTTTGTTTTGCCTTCGAGCTGAAGAAAAAAAAGGCTCTCAAGTGACTTATTTGTAAAGCAAATGGTATGTTTTGTTTGGTTTGTGTCGATTTCTAGCGAGCCAATATGCTTTTAACATGTAATATTAGTATTTGGCAGTGACAGCATCATCCTGAGATCTGATAGTTTCTGTCACAGTATCCCAGTATTACAATGAATGTATTTATTATTATTATTATTATTATTATTTTTAGATTGTGGATCAATGAGCTCCAGAAAGACTCTGAAGATGGGTGAGGATCTGGCAAGTGAAAGTGATCTGCTGTCAATGATCAGCGAGGTCGGCTTCCATGACTGTTATTGTTCTATTTATTTAACAAATATGAACAGACAATGACAAATAATGTGACGATTTGCAGTATCTGAGGTTTGCTGAGCTTGAAGAGACTGCCAGAGTGTTTGAAAAGGAACTCAAGTGCAAAGGCAAACCTGTGGTCAGAAGTGCAGGGCACTCCCGGCCAGACTCCAAAACCCTCGGCGTTCACGTGAGACGGACCTCCTTTATTCAAAGAACATGAAGTGACAATCTGCAGTGTGTTTTTATCAGATCAGCTTGCTTTGATATAATTCTAATACAAACATATCAACAAAAGTTTAACTTTTAAATTGTCTCTTTAATTACCTTTTCC